ATAGGAAGCTATACCGAATTTCATCGATAAATTTCAAATTTCGTCTAAAAATATGTAATCGTTCAAGAGTTATAACTTTTTGAATTTTTGCCACATGTGGAAACAATTTTTTCCAAATTTCAAAACATCATAACTCTTGAACGGTTGGACATTTTTCGACGAAATTTAAAATCTGTCGATGAAATTCGGTATAGCTTCCTATGAAATTCTAAAATCCAAGATAATACTAACAGTAAAAAATCCTGGGAGGGGGGATCAGGAAAATGCTAATTTTTTTCGCAAACTCCGAGTGCAAATTTTTTTTGATAAAATTCCATCATTTGGATCCCATGCTCAAAAGTCAAGATTCAGCATACTGAAAAATCCTGGATACGTCACTGAACACCACGTTAAGTTCGTATCATATCGTCGGTATTTATCAGTACCGCGATATATTGACGGTAGTATAAACATACGTCAGTAATGTAAAAATGATCGAACATATTATATAATAGTCTTTTCAAAATATATAATTATTTTCATTTATAGAAAAGAAGAAGATGATGATGATGGTGAAAAAGTATCTAATGAAAAACGTTCATGGGAAGAAGAAAATGATCAAATAGATACAAATATAAAACGTACTCGAACGGAATTATTAACTGAAACTGGTTCAGGAGGGTAATTTAATTTTTTCTTTTTTTTTAATTTTATATAAATTTATTTATTTTAGTTTTTTTGAAAATGTTCCACGAATGCAAATTCATACTGTTGAAACAATTGAATCATGTTTACATGAAGTTTGCTTCTTGATGTTTATCGAAAAAAAAGAGAAAAATTAAATAAATATTTTATTTTTAGGTTGTTTTACCACCAAATTTCGAATACGTTCCATTAAAAGCGCCTATTGGTCCACCAGCTAAAGAATATAAATTTAATCTTGATCCATTTCAACGTGAAGCTATAACATGTTTACAAAATAATCAATCAGTACTTGTTTCAGCTCATACATCAGCTGGAAAAACCGTTGTAGCTGAGTATGTCAAATATTTGAATAATAAAAAAAAAAAAAAGATTTGTTTTTTTAATCAATTGTTAAAATATTAGATATGCTGTTGCTATGGCATTACGTGATAAACAACGTGTTATTTATACAACACCCATAAAAGCATTAAGTAATCAAAAATATCGTGAATTACATGAAGAATTTAAAGNAAAGATGTTGGTCTTATGACTGGTGATGTTACACTTAATCCATCAGCATCATGTCTTATTATGACAACAGAAGTATGTTTTAATACAAAAAAAAAACGGTACGATAATTCAATTTGATTTTCGTTTAAGATTCTTCGATCAATGCTTTATCGTGGTTCAGAAATAACTCGTGAAGTAGCATGGGTTATATTCGATGAAATACATTATCTTCGAGATAAAGGTAAAAATAAAATTTAAAGAATGAAAATATAATAAATTTTAAGATTTTTTAGAACGTGGTGTTATATGGGAAGAAACAATTATTTTATTACCAGATAATGTTCATTATGTATTTTTATCAGCTACTATTCCAAATGCAAAACAATTTGCTGAATGGATTTCATTTCTTCATAATCAAGTAAAATTTTAAATTAAAAGAAAACAAAATTTTCTAATTGATAAATTGATTTTGAATATTCTAAAAAGATTTCGTGATCATAATTTATTGCTGCAGATATATAAAACATAAAGA